TAATAAATTGTGGAATAGCGATGAATATTTTTGTCAAAAATATAAACTTTTACTCACAAGTATTATCAGTAAAGTTAAACAAGGCAATGGTTTAATATCAGAAAAAGACGGTTAATTATCAGCGATCAAAATATGTTTGGTTTTTATAAAATCATAGTTGCTGTTATTATTTATTATATTGCTTTTTTGAGGAGAAAACATCACAAGAATTGGCCAATACATTTTAGTTATCCCTTTTAAGTTTAATTAAAAATATACAATTATCCATATGAAAAAGGCACAAAAATTATGAGGAAATTGTTAAAATTGAAGTAAAAGTACTTTTTTAACTTTCAGCCTAGTTGCTATTATAAAGAGATGATATTACTTGATGGAAAGGATATAAAGATGTTTACCCACTTCAATTCCATAGGATTATTATTGAAAATATAAAATATCTAACTGAAAGTGTGGCATATCAAGAGCCTATTCTGTTGCAAAATCAGCCTACACATCTCATTTTATAAAAAAAATTACCATAAGACAGCAATACTGTAATAACTTATTAAAGTTGAGAAGGGAGTGAATTTAAAGAATTATAATTGCCCATGTTGCACTTAAAAACACTCTTATCTTATCATTGAGAGTCCATAAATTCAAGAATTCCTTTATATTTGAAATTATTGGAGATATTATTAATTATTATGTATTCCATTTCTTAGAAAATTCAAGTAAATTCAAAAATAGATTTTATGATAATTATGAAGAACTCAATGTATTAAATAATTGTGCTACACTTTAATCAATAATTATGTAAAATTACATTTTAGTTTTAAATATGGCTTCTTCATTTATATATTCGATATGTTTTAAAAAGAGATCAACAATCATTTATTACTCCTTAGAATCAAGTTTAGTCATCCAATATGAAATTGCAGAATATATAGGTTATAATACTAATAAAATATGATCTGCTAAATACAAGTTTTATCAGGTGATAAATTGATAATCTCAAGTGTTGATACAATTAATTCTTTGTATTTTTATTACTCTAATAATTCATCAAAAACAGCACCAAAATCAGCAATTTTATTATGATCACTTAAGTTAAAATTCACTATTTACTTAGGTGAACAATGTTTTTACAATAATTCCATAGTTTTTTGACTACTCAATCCCTAACCTAAGTATTAGAAATGTAAAGACATGTCAATAAACAATTAATAAATTAATTTTACCACATATAATTACAAAATTCAATTATTTATTAATATAATAATAAAACTTATATCATTTCTTACAGAAATCCTAATCTAAAAGAATTATTCGATTCTAGTATAATTTATCCCCAAAGTATAATTTATCTCCCAACCATAATCATTTAAAGGACTATGATTTTCATAATCAATAATTTTGGAATAATCGAAGAAATCTACCATTTGAATTATACTCCAAATAACTAGATATATATTATTATGATAAATTAAATATGTAGAAATACTTCTCTTTTATGTATGATTATATTATAGTGTAAAATTAGAACTCAAAAATTAGATTAATTTGAACAACTTCATAAACTTGATAAATCTTACATAATTAATCTGATATTTTGTTTTCATTTCTTAAAATTTAAATAACCAAAATTCATCTCCGTTTTTTAGTTTAGTTTATCAATTTAAATCCATTATCTTAATTAATATAAATTAATCTTATGCAACTAACTTAATAAAATAACTATTATATAGATCTAATTCCTTAGGTAACTTTTATTAATCGCTACAATGATGATTTTTTCAAAAATGTGCCTTATCTTTTGTAATATTATATCTTTTTATTTATGAGGTTTCTCGATAGTTTTTATTTCAGTTTATTTATATATTTTTAATTTTTTATCACTTCTACTTTAAAATTTATTGTTGGTTCTAAAAAAAACTTATATCTAAAATACAATTGAGTTAAACATTAAGTATTCAATTTTATTATTATTATTCTTAGTATCAAAATTTAATTTATAAATATAAAGGATTTAGGCATGCCTAAATTATTAAGATTTATGAATTAATTGAGTAATAGAGTATAAATGTTATTTCGTCAAGTTTATTTGACTTTAAATCAAAATTATACTATTAGCTTTATGTTAACATAATTTATATAATAATTATAAATGAGAGTTTCAGAGAGTGTTGGTCAAAAATTAAGGAGAGTCAATATTGATTATTCATAATATGATTTTGTAGAGAATTCTCTTGAATATTACTTAAAACCTACGAAACCCAAATTAAATTATTACAAACTTTTACCAAAACAACAATCTCCTAAAAGAGAAATATCCCATACTGTCTCATGTAGAATCAAACCTTAGATTATTGCCTAATAATAAACTGAATCGATCAATCAAAAGAGTTTATCAACTCTTCCTAATCGATTAATAATTCCTCAAATTCATAATCGTTCTTTTATTTTAAGATAAAAGAAGCCAAGTATTTAAGAGCGATATAAACAGATTATGGTAAAATTAAATAAAAAATAGGAATATAATGTAGATGAGTAATTTGTGGAATTGAGAAGATTGATGACTCGGTAGAAAAAATCATCTAGTCTTGGAAAAAGAGTTAAATTTTTATAATGATCCTAATTTATTTAATATTATTAAAAGTTTCTTGTTTATCAAATATACAGAAATATTAGATATGAAGACATAAGATTATCTTAAAGCATATAATTAGAATATTAAAATAAAAAGACTTATTATAACAAAGATAATAATAATAAGAACTACAAGAAATGAATATTAAATAGAATAATAGCAGTATAAATGTCTTCTATTGTAATGTGGAGAAAATTAGTAAAGTTAAAATTAAATCAATTAGAATTAATTTAGGAATTCAAGATTATTACTTATTTGTAAATTCTTTAAGCTAATAAAAAGATTTGCTATTTATAAGAATATCAATAATACAAGAAAACGCTCTAAGTTTAACTTTAGAATTCTAAACAATAATTATTAATTTACAATTTTATCAAATAAAAAAGTTATCCTTCTAAATTGAATTATACAGTAATAAAAGTAATTATATTAATAAAAGATTATAAATAACTATTTTAAGAATATAGAATTTTTAAACAAATATACAAAGGAAATTGATACATAAATACAGATTAATCATTTTTGTTTTATTAATTTATAACATTCAAGACTACAAGCTTTTTATTACATTTTAGGAATGCGATGTCTAGCTATATTAGAACAATTTGAACAATATTTATCTTCTTCAAGTATTATTTTTGATGGATTAGGCAATTATGAATTCATATATCTTGGCATTATTATAAATGTGCCTTCACTACTTGATTTATATTTGATTATAATATCATCTGGAGGTAAACATCTATATTTATGTGTATCCTCTGTCTTTTATCTTCTTGTTATTATCTTTATTTTTATTTTCTTCCTATTTCTTTTTATATTTTATCAACTGTCATCTATTTTTATTCTTCCTATTATTTTTATAATTTTTCTTTTCTTTACAGTTCTTTTTAACTTTTTGATATCATTTCTTCTTCAGTAAAAGCTAAATCTTTTTTTGATTTTGATTTTTTCGAAGGTAAGGATAAGAACTCACTCCCATCCAAATTACCAAAACTATACATATGCATTTATCGTTTAGTAAACTTTTTTTCTTTTGAAGAAAACAGATAAATTTACATCATTTTCAAGATCCATTTCTTCTTCAAATTCATCATCAGGCACATCCTCTTCGCCATTAGAAATTTCATCTTCTATTGATTCATCAATAATAGGTGATTTCTATTTAAGAGGTCTACCATTATTAAAAACTATTTATACCTTAAATTCTCTTGGCAGATTGGCTTTCATAAAAATGTAATATATAAATATAAATATAAAATAATCAAATTTCAACATAAATGAGTATTATTGTAATATCATCTCTTGCTGAATCCAATTGATCCCATTTTGTATAAGTCTCTCCAAGTATTCTTTAAATAGCAGATTCAACATCAAGCTAATTTAATGGAGGATAATAATTATGAAGTATCTTTTAAATGCTTTCATACTCCATTTTATCCCATAAACCATCACTGCCAATCAAAATAAATCCATTATTTGGTATTTTATATCTTAAAATTTCTGGTTCTGCTATTACTCCTACTTGTTTTGCTACCAAGTCTCCAATTGATCTTGACATTGCTAATCCTGGTATTTCTTCATGTGGTAACCAAACTCTATATGCACCCTATCTTTTACCATCAAAATAACTTTATTCTACTCTTCCTCCTTGACCTAAAATTCTCCTCAGTTCTATTGATTTATTAGGTTTATGATCAAATGATAATGCTCTATTAAACCAAGCATCACCTGATCTATAAAAGAATACTGCTCTAGAATCACCCACATTTGCACAATATAATTTTGAACCTAGAAATAAAATGACCATTTTATCCATGACCATCAAACACTCCAAACAAATGCCAGTCAATTTAATTGCATACATACTTTTTAATTATTAAGCTATCTTAATTTATCTTCAATCTCTTTCTATTCGTTTACCCTGCTAAAATTCTATAATATTTGATAATTAATCAAACTTGGCAGTTACGTATTTGACACATTACTATTCATCTTACAATTCTGTCTGTATACGTTGCAAAGGTTAAGGATTAATTGGAGGCAATTTATCAACAATTGTTTACATTGATTAATTGTTCAATTTCTTCATTTTATCTTTCTAATTTGTTGTACTTATAGAACGAGGAATTTTGACTTATTTTAAGATGTCTAATTTTTAATTCATATATATATTATTATTAATAATTATAATATCATTAAAATGGTCCCACTCTTTACCCTTACAATTACATCTAAGTGCTTCTTATATTAAATACACCTTCTATGACTGTTTACTATAACTCTCCAGTCACTTATTTTTCTCCTAAATCAATATTAAAGTTTTTAACAAATAATGGATTTGGATTTGATAAAACATCATCATTACATGGTAACCCATCTAAATATTATTTCAGTAAGGATTATAGTTAATTGCTCTCATTTTATAATGCTTCCTTTTATTTTTAAATTGCTAATATATCCAATAACACCTTAAATTATATAATAATTATCTGTATACCTTATTATATCTCTTATAAAAATTATTTAAATAAGCAAACTCTTCGTATTATCCCTTTTCTATGACTTCAAAATCATTCGTTTAATTCTCTGGTATTTATTCCATATCAACTGTATCTTCATAAAATGGCAAAACTTTTTCTCTTTCTGTTTCTAGTCTTCTACAAAGTTCAGCAGTTTTTAAAATCTTTTCACCTAATTCCTTATATTCTGTTAATTTTAAAACAGCATTTCTACTATTATTTACTAATTCTTTTAATAATCTTGATTATTCTTCTCTAAATTTATTCATTTTCAATTTCAAATCTTAATAATTTTTAGCAATATTTTCTTTTTCTTTTTTCAAAGCCTAATTTCGAGCATTACATTCTTTAGTATGTTATAATATTTTGTATTTAGTTAAATCTATCTTTGCTTTTTTACTAGCTATAGATCTAACTAATCTTTCTATCTTCTTTGACATATCTTTATTAGCATCATAATATTTAGTATGATCTTCAGTTTTCTTTGCAGTATCAGATTGATATTTCTAATGCATCTACTCTAAATCATTATAAAATTTTGTTTATTTATCTTCTAATTATTATTTCATCTAACTTGTATCTTCCACATCCTTATTCTTTGTTTCTTCTCTATTTGTTTAATGTTAATTCTTAGCTAATTCTGCTTTTCTTTTCTCTTCCTCTTCTACTGTTTTAATCGTATCCTCTAACTCCTTAACTTATTATTTATGAGTTTTTGTCATATCATCAAATTCTAATTGAAATTCTTCTTATAGTATTTTGATATCTCTTTCAAATTCTTCCAACAATGCTCTATTTCTACTTTCCTATAATAAATGAAAATTTTCTAAATGAATTAGATGGTTCCTTAAAGCAATTTAATATTGATCTTCAGCTTCGTCTAGATTCTTATCAAGCATTTGAATAAAGGCTTCTTTTGAATCTAATTCTCTTTTATTGTTTTACGAATATAATTCAATATCGAGTTTCAATTACTCTGTTTTTACAGCTCTCATAGTTCTTCTCCTATAAGCCATTAGTTTCTTTGTATTGAAATTAACAATCTTTTGCTCCTCTCTAATTTTACTTCGCAGTTACTCTTTTTTAAACTATATAAATCACATTATACTACTTTTAACTCTCTTCAAATTCTTGTTAGGATTTAGTTATTTGTCTTATTTTTATATTTCTCTTCTACTCTGTACCTCTAGGTTTTGTAGTACGACCTTTTAAAGTCTTATAGTGCTTTCATTTAGAAGGTCTATCCAAATTTGATTTTGAAATAAATAAACGGATGAAAAATTAGTTTGTGTTTTTTAATTGATAATTCATTCATATAATTGTTTCTACACAAGAGCTATACTTAATAATGCCATTTATAAATAAATAATAAGAAAAAAATAGATTAAAATAATAAAAAATCATCTTTTTGGTACAGAAGTTTCCTTATAAAATGTTCTAAAGTATGTTTACTCTTAATCCATTGATTTTTGTCTATCTTAATTTCTAGATCGCTTTTGAAATCTGCCGTAATATTCATCCAATATATAATTTCTACAAATTGGAGTCTTCAATTTCAAAACTTTAACATCATTAGATTATTATAATAAACTGGATTCTAATAGTGTTGTCTTCTATAAATCTAAAGTCACTTTTCTTCTCACATCTTCAGATTAATTCAATACTGTAGGAGATTACTATTAAAAGATTGTATTTTATGTATTAACAGAATTATTTAATCTTGGTTTTGGATCTACAGGAGAATCTTCTCTTTATAATGTATGTCTTGCTTAAATGATTAATTTATATAAGTACATTTTCTTTGTATTAATGGTAGAGGATTTATTCAATTAATGTATTTTCTATCAGTTTATGTCGATTATCTAATCGATATCCTTTGAGCCTCAAATTATTCAGAGTTTATATCTAAGGATTTAATGTATTTCATAATTACCTGCTATTGATTTATTACCTGCTAATAAATACTTTTTCAATAAAAGATAATATGTAGTTGTTACATGATTATGCCGATTAGCTTCTATACATTTTTCAGCATATTCACTAGAAATACCTAATGGAATCATCTATTTAACTATTTCATGGTCAATTGGTATTCGATGTTATTAAAATTTTTTAATTATTTTTATTATTTATCTTAAATAAATAAATAATCCCCACCTCGGTGGGAATAATAATCATACTCTGACCTCCATTCGTGATGAATGTATTGAATTCCTGTTTTTCGGCCAAGAATAAACTTATCCGAGAATAAATTAATATACAATAGGAGATTATACCTATTCATCACCCATAATAGAAATAATTAAAAAATTTTAATATATTTTATTAA